TTTAAAAACATTAAAGCAATTATTTGGTAAATTGTATTGTTTTTTTATTTTTTGCTTAAGAAATAAAATTGATTTAAATTAAACATTCATATTATGTATAATTAGCGATACTTTTGGCCTCCATGTCACATTTAATACTAACATAATTGTTATTAATAAACTTATAAAATTAAATAAATATTGCTAAGAAATTTATCTTATATACTTACGGTTAAATAAACTCTTAAAATTATTGAGAAAATCATAAAAATATTTACAAATCTTAAAATAATGTCAATAAATAAAATATTTAATATACAAAAATTTGAATTATCATTGTTTATAGAGCGCTCATCTTGAAAATCAATTGCTCATATCAATTCCTTATCTATCATACTGAACGCGTTATTTATTTATTTTTTTTTTATTTTTTTACTTTTTATTTTTTATTTTTTTTGGTACAGAGATACATTGCTTGTCTAAATTTTAAAAAAATGAGTATCTGGTAAGGTAATGTCATAATTTTGTTTTTTCTGTACACTAACTTAACATTTTGATAATTTTTAAAAGTTTGTTCAAATTTTAATATCATTGAAAATCTTATTTAAATAAATGTAAAATTTAACATTTTGATAATTTTTAAAAGTTTATTCAGATTTTAATATCATTGAAAATCTTATTTAAATAAATGTAAAAGTTTCAGACAAAAAGTGAAAATGGGGAGTGACAAGATATTCAAAAGGGAGAAATTTTGATAAATAGACGGCATTGATAATTGGGCCAAACCAACATACATAAACCCCAAGATCTAAAATGTGTTTAATTAAAAATATTAGTATAGAATGGGGGTATTATATTACAAAATTGACATTATAAACATGACAAAGTAAGGTTAATTTAGGGATATCATATTTTTACAGATTCATTGGCTCTTTTATAATAGTATAGATATAGATAATTCATTAATCTAGTCTAAAAATTTTTAATTTATTTTATGCAAAAATAAGATTATCACCAGGCTAGCTATAATATAATATAACATGCGATAAAACATTTTTCACTCGTATAAATTTAGGAAAACCGAAAATTAAGATCGGGTTGGATCCTATTCAGCCTAGTGGCTCCGCCCCTACTACCACATTTGAACTTTAATTATTCCTAATTTTATAATTAGATATTCTCATGAGAGTTCCCTCAAACACTTCAGTGGATATTTTTGCCACTACATTAATATTTAATGAAGTGATTTGAGGGGACTCTTGTGGAAATCATGATCTTGAACCCAACATTAAAATTTTATTCTTTTAAGTTGAACCCATACAAATATTTTTAGCCTTTTTTGTTCTATATATCAAATTTTTCTCGGAGTTCCCCCAAACACTTCAGTGAGCTTTTTTGTTTTCTCGCAAGAGAAATAATAACTCAGTGAAGTGATTGAGGGAACTCTAGGAGAAATCTGATGACTCGTTTATTGTTGTCGAACGATTAAATTTTCAAAACTGATATCGGTATTTATATATAGTTCAGCTGATGCATGCTGAATGTTGTGGTGAAAAAAAAAATAGAAAAATGAAAAAAAGAGCCGATCGAGGAGGTATATACGGTAGCAGTTTGCACCTAGACATGAAAATGGTCCAAGTGAACTGTAGAAGAACAAAAGATATTTGGGAGCACAAACTAAGGATATAGAATATACCAATTCATGGCATTTTTATTCCAATATAACTCGTGTTGTGTTATTTTTCTTTTAAATCAGAGTAATTTTCTAGTCATAAGTGATCGTTTAATTTGTGAATTTAATTTTGCGCGTGTAATGATAATCTAATAATGAGTATTAAGTTGCAGAAAAGATGACATGAAAAGTGAAGATGCACCAGAAGATATATGCATCGGAGATAATATTATGGTCAATTGGTCCAAGTGTTATATATTCTATCTTCATTATTTGTCCTAAATTATTGGCCAGGTTCAAACAATTCATGTATCTAGGCTTAGTTTTTCTCTTTGATGAAAATATATTAGAACCGGGGGAAGAGAGCGATCCCACCAGATGAAGCGCACCATAAATGAGTGAGCTTAGATGCACTTTAGTGAGGTTCCATCCCAAAACCAATTGGTGATGAGAGAAGTAGTCCACTAGACTTATAAACTAGGCTCATTTACCCTGTAGAATCAATGTGGGACAACTCACAAGTGATATTTCAACACGCCCCCTCACTTGTGAGTCCTTCACAAGGGCCCAAGCCCAGAGCAGGCCGGATAGAGATGTAGAGCCTAAGCCAAGAGCAGACCGGGTAGAGATATAGAGCCCAAGCCCAGAGCAGGCCGGATAGAGATATAGAGCCTAAGCCAAGAGCAGACCGGGTAGAGATATAGAGCCCAAGCCCAGAGCAGGCCGGGTAGAGATATAGAGCTCAAGTCCAGAGCAGGACGGGTAGAGAGAGTCATTGCAGATCCTAGGACAAACCTGCTCTGATACCATATTAGAATCGGGGGAAGAGAGTGCGGTCCCACCAAATGAAGCGCATCATAAGATGGTGAGACTGCACCATAAGTGATCGCTTATTATTATTATTATTATTAATTATTAAGTGATCACTAAAGTGTATCTAAGTTCATCCTCTAATATAGTGGTTTATTTAATGGTACCGCACCCTCTAAAAGCAAGTGCGTTTTATAGATTTTGAAAAAATTAATTATAAATTGTAATTTATACATATCCTTGCATGCGTTGGTCGTTTTATTTAGATGGTTTCACTTATGTGAATGTATTAACACTTCTATGTACAAATAAGGGTGGACCAACCGTCTCGATTCGTTTTTATATATCTCGTGTTAGCTAGATTTGTTACACATAAAAGTATATGATTTTATGTTTCTAATATTTAGTTGTTATTGATTCAGATTTATCAATATCAACGTAAAGGTTGCCTAGAGGTAATTATAAACATATATTATGCAAAAACATAATCTCCTATATATAATTCCCGAATGCGTTGAGCCTACGTGGCTGCTTCTAGTGCTTCTGAATCCTACTTGGTAATTTTACATAGTGAGGCACTAAGTGACTAATATTTCTCTGACTTTTGATTTGTTTCTTTCAATTAGCTATTGAATTATTAATGTATTTTAAAAGTTGATAACTTTTGTATTTCTTATCGGTTGACATATATAATATATGGAATCAATCATATTTTCATGATCTTCGATTTGACATCTATATTGTATATATAAATTAAATAGATTATATTTCTTTATAATAATAAAAAATAATAAAATTTATTAGAAAAGTAAAATTATTTCTCAGTTGATATATTTATGTTTAATGTAGTTATATGTTGTAAGTTAAAAAAATTATTATAATATAACACAAGTAAGTCACACAAATAAAAAGTGTCATACTAAATATATAATATATATATATATATTAATAAAAGTATTTAAATTTTCAACTACATTTTCTCATTAATTTTAAATTTTAAAGAAAAAATTAGCAAGCACTTGTGTAATACACGGGCATTGTACTAGTCCTACAATAATGTAAAATGGTAATTTATTTTTTATTTATTGTTTGATATATGTTTGAATTATTTTAGCTAATAATATAAATGCGATTGTACACCATAATTTTCTAACGTACGGGGTTAGATTCAGCTGTAACAGCTCAATGACAATGATGCATATATATAGTCAACCATAGTACAATTATATTAGAAAACCTTAGGCTCCTACAAATTATTCTTTTGAAAAGATACATATATTTTTTTGCATAAATTTATATTTTCAATTATATAAATATATTATTTTCAAACTTTTTCATAACATGTAGCATAAAATAATTTGTATAAATAACAAGACTCTTAAAATTACAAATACTTTACTCGATCCAATAATAATTTTGTAATTATTTGCAATTAACTGGAAAAAGATGGGAATTTATTTATTTATGACTATTCAAAAGTTTAGATCAAATTTCAAAGAAGTCCTGCTTTATTTTGCAATTAGGCCCAAATAACGTAATTCTATTTTGCAATCTTGGACTAAATTGAGTGCATATTCTGTACAGGTTCACACCCTTATTAGAATGCAGCTAATCATACAAATATAGATTTTATTTATTTATTTTTATTTTCATATGGGAATTATTTTGCAATTTATGGGATGCAGAAGGCAAAGAGATATTTCCCGGTGTTCCAAGTCGGGTGGAACCTGGCGAGGCTCACCGAATACCCGTGCCCAATGTAAATGCAGCCGTAGCCGGCGGAGGCCCCCCCATACACGGTGGCCCCCGTCTCGAACGACCAGATGATCTCCCCCGTCCGGGCGTCCATAGCGTACACCGGCCCCGTGGGGGCCACGGACCCAGCGAAGACTACGCCGTTGACCACCGTGACGGGCCCATGGGCCGTCTCGTTGCTCGGGTTTGCGGTGGTCCACAGGATCCTTCCCGTGTTGGCGTCCATCGCCACCCACCCGCCGGCCGTGGTGCTCCGGTTAGACGGCTTTAGGACAAACGGTAGACGGCCGTTGTTTACTATGTTGGTGTAGACGCTCGCCCCATCGGTGGCTGCCCCCCACACGCCACCGCCTTCCAGGCCTCCGGGTCCGGCTTTCTACNNNAAAAAAAAAAAAAAAAGAGGACGAGTGAGTGCAATTGTTTTCATAGTTCTAACAAGTCATGCGCTTATATACCGTAAACCAAACTATGTCGCCATTGTCCCGGTCGAGTGCCCATGCGAAACCGCTCTTCTGCACGGCCACCACGACATCACGAAATCTCCCGCCTGACACAATTCTCATCACCATCGGAGCCTCCCCAAAATCGGCATCCAAGTTTGGTCCGGGCGGGCAGTCGGTATTGTTGGGCTCCAGGCAATCGAAATAGAATACGTCGTAGCCCCCAAGCTGGCGTGCCCAAACAATCCTTCCTGTGCCCATGTCAAACGACATCAGAGAGTCAAAGTGGACGTCGGGCCCGAAGCACTGGTCGGGCTGGGCTGGGGGGTTGGTGCGGTTATTCTGTCGGGCTTGGCAGTCAAGGACATCGGGCGGGGCCAGGTAGAGGTTACCCGTGCCCACGTAGACATGGCCCCGGACTGGGTCGATTGAGGGGCTGCTGCCCCATATGGCGGCTCCCGAGTAGCCACCTGTCCTGCCCCCATTGTCCGGTAGAGTATATGTTTGCCATATGATTCTTCCGGTCCTCACGTCTAGCTTCACCATGCTGCCGCGGAAGGTGCAGCACTCTCCCGCTGGCAGTAGTTCCTCCAGCGAAGATACTCCCACATAATATGCCCTTTTTTTTTAATGAGAATTTCAAAATTAACACTGTCCTCGTCTATGCATAACTCGTCCAAGTAAAATCGTAAAAGCATTAAAAAACAACTAACCCGTCATATACCGTTCCGGATGCAGTCACCAAGCCCAATGGCCGCGGATCCAACTGAGTGGACCACAGGAGCTGCCCTGTGGCCCGTGTTACGGCTACGACACAGGCCGGCCCATAAATCGCGATGAGCAACGAATCTCCGGCCACAACGGGAGTCGATCGTGAGACGGTCGCATTCCCATACCGTCCCGTGGGGGGTAATCCCGTCAGCTGTCTCAAACTCTGTTGCCACATTAGGGCACCATTGAGGGCGTTGACCGCGTACAAATTCCCATTCCAAGACGGGAAATAGACCACCCCGCCGGCCACAGCTGGGGTGGCGGTTATGTCGAACCCGGCAAGGAATTTCCATTTTTGTTTCAAAAGGCCTAATTTTATCGAAACTGGGTTTATGGTTCCTCCGACGAAGTTACGCCGGTTGCTAATGTCTCCTCCATGAGTATACCACTGCCAATTGATATAAAATAATGTTAAAATGATCTTTGCTAAATGGAAAAAAATTAATGAATATGGGCTGGAGATTTATCTTACTTCTGCAGATGAGATGTGGATGAATAAGAGTAAGCAAGATGTAGAAAGAAAGGTAGCAATAATATTGCAATTTGTAGCCATAATTATTCTGATGACAATTGAAATGAAACATGAGAATTGCTCATTAGAGGGTGTACATATATAAATATTATGAGAGTACGTAAAAACGTCAACTTGGTGAAGCAAAGTGATTAGGATATAGAGATTAGGACTAAAAGGTGCCAACCCTCGAGAAGGTTAGGTTAGGTAATGGGAGATCAACTTGTGGGTTAAAGTCAAATTTCCAAGATGTGGATGTGGTTGCTTGTTCTTTGGTTTGGTGGGAGGCTAATATGGCCGGTGAGGAGACGTTACTTGGGTAATGAACTCCATGGTTAGTTCCGAGATCTCTTGTTCTCGTTGTTGGGGTTAATTTGTAGTCCGTTTGTTGTTGGTACTTTGTATCATTTGAATTTGTTTATAATATTTATCGTTTGGGAAAAAAAAAAATCAAATTTTCATGAAGTTCAAAAGTATTTAAGTATATATATGAAATCAAAAACTGATTAAAATATTCACGCAGTTTGCCTATGAAATGCAAGAGAATACAAAGTTTGGGTTTTTGCTTAAAATAATGTAAGATTATGTAAATTTGTGGAAGCTAATAACTTAAAAACTAAATTTCAAGAAAGTGTCTCACTCTTCTTCGAAACTCTTTTATTAAGCAAGTGTTTGGCCAACAAATACAAATAGGAATTACTCGCATAGACTCCTTCTAACTAACTTACTTTGTACCTCACCTACCTAACTACTCTTCTGGTCACGACGTGGACTTAAGCTGCACATATGGATTCCTCCAAGCAGTATGAAGATGCTTGTCCATCAATGTATCAACATGTTGGAATCCGATCACTCTATAAAATCTAAATAATAACTTACGAGCTCTCAGTTATAAACACTCTAAGCTATCTGAAAGAATAATGGATTAGCTCGTTGTATAACCAGAACTCGTGAAACTAAACTATATATAAATCTAGAAACGGTATGCAAGTTCACCAGAAATCGAGAGTTTTCAAATCTTCTCGATCTTCTTATTCAACTTTCAATTGAATCCCCATGCCTTATAAGTCACCTTGCATGAATCTCTCTCTCTCTCTCTCTCTCTCTCTCTCTCTCTCTCTCTCTCTCTCTCTCTCTCTCTCTCTCTCTCTCTCTCTCTCTCTCTCTCTCTCTCTCTCTTTCTCTCTCTCTCTTCAATATAGTGGAATTTTCATTCCTTATTTCCATGCTAACATATTTTTTTGCTCAATTTATTTTTCATCTTGCCGATTTTTCAATCTTTGATCCTTATGTTTTTCATATCTCAAATTTCACATAAGTCTCTTCCTTTTATTACCATTGATCTTCCTTTTCCAACAAGCGAAGAAAGACAATTAAATACATCATAAAATATAGTAAGAGAATATCAATACTGAGGAAAGAGAATAGATATGAAATATTTTGATAAATCTCTATTTTCTTTCCTTTTCCTACAAGCTAAAGAAAGATAATTAATTCCAAATATATAATAAGATTATAACTAAGATATGGAAAGTTAAGATGAGAAGGTCTTTCATTTCCCTTCAAGCACTAATCATGTTACATATTTTAAGAAATATAAATATGGTAAATAAATATTATTTTAAATTAATGCCAAATTAAATTTTCTTATAATTTCTCCCTTTGGCATATAGATCAAAAACCTGTTTCTTGAAATAAAACCTACAAATGTCAAGTCAAGCTTGCAACTGGTATAGATGAACCAACAAAGGTCATCTAACTATAAGCTATAAAACCATAGAGCATGGCATACACGTAGACAAACCCTAAGAGCATAAGACATAAATATCATAGTATAACAAGTCAAACATTCAAAATACAAGAATAAGATGACAAGAGTTCATAGATGAACTCTCATCGACATGTTTCACTAGCTACCAACATGTTCAATCTCCTCATTCTGACAGCTCAGCTCACAGTTCGAACCAGTTATCCAGTGCAAAGAAGCACGAAAAGACTTATCTAGCGCTGGTAATCATGTAGCAGAAAGAAGGAGAATCCTCTGAGATAATGTTGTCACGTACACCAAGGAGTGCGTCGAGGTTCCGTCAGCATCCGAGGAGATATGAGCTGGAGGTCTGACTCAAGGTCTCCGGTCAGGACCATGTCGCAACTCACTTGCCAAAAGGCCAGCGAAGTCCTTCGATGAACTCTTGATAGATGTAACAATTACATCAACATTGAGGAGGCCGAGGTAGATTTCCCATAGAATGAATGAGAAAAATAAAGAAGGCAGAGAAGTCGTGGTCCAATGACAAGAGGTCGGCGAACAGGAAAGAAAGGTCGGATGATCGATCCAAGTTGGGGTTTAAGTACCACCAGTATGCCCCATTGACGATGTCTCGTAGAAACATTTGTGAGGTGCTCGAAAAGTGAGGTGAGATAGACACCTTTACTAGGCCCAACCATATTCCAAGTAGGAATGGATATATGCCCCAGAGAGATGATCCCTACTGCCTATACCATATAGATGATAGTCACTCGATGAGCAGCTGCAGAGAATTGAAGAGTGAGATCGAGAGGCTTACACGAGCTGGGCACCTCAAAGAATTTGCAGTAGAAGGCAAAGACTGAAGAAACGACCGTGAGGACCCAGACAAGCAAAGAAGAACAGAGGAACCAAAGAAAAGGTTGCCCAGAAGAGGCGTCATTCAAATGATTGCAGGTGGATCCACTAATGGGGATCCCATAATGAGAGAAAGAGAACATATCGAGGAAAGGAGATCGCCAGAGAAGTATTAGAGATACAAACCCAGCAGACCGAGGTAATTCTAAAACTTGAAGCACATGATGTTAGAGGCACCTCTTATTTTCATAATGACACCCTCATGATAACTGTAGAGGTCGCCGACTACGAGGTCCAGCGAGTGCTCATTGACACAGACAATTCGATAAACATCTTCTTTGTGTAGTGCCTCAAGCAGATGGAGCTTAATGTCAGTCTTATGCCAGTCCATACAACCCTATATATATGGATTCAACAGAAGCGTGGCCGCAAAACTAGGAGAGTTGCGCTGCAGGTCGTCCTCGAAAGGTCGGACTTGAGAAGAATCAAGATGGTCAGGTTCCTGGTGGTAGATGCTAAATCAAGCAAGTGTTCTGATAAAACTTGTTGGGGTTCTATAAAGATCGTTGAATTTATGCAAGTCAGGGATCTAGTAAAAAAATAGCCTAAAACGAAGCGATTTAAATAATGGTTTGAACACTCACGTCTAATAAAACTATTCGTAGACTCTGAGAAGTTTATGCTTTTCGTTGATGGAGATCGTCTGAACCTCGTTAGATGTTGGAAAAATCATCGGAGATCGGATCATCTCGTCGTTGGGTCGCGACGTGCGGTCGTTGCTCACGTGTAGTGCTTAGATTGTACGGGTATTACTCGCGTACGGAGTCGGGCGTCGCATGCGGTCGTCACGGTTGGGCGCTGGTGTGCATTGCTGTCACAGAGGCGAGTGGGTGCTCGGTTATCCGTGAGATAGGGCTTGGTTCTCGGTGAGATGGGACTCGGTGCTCGAGCGATCGGCGGGAGTCTCAAATTTACCTCGGGACTTTTTTGTATGACCTTTACATACTTTGTTTGTCTTGGTGGGAAACTCACAAAGTTCCCTCTCTCTCTCGGATGATTAAAATCATAAGAGAAAGTGTGTATTTATAGTTGGGCTCAACTGGGCCAAGTCACTATGCCCATACTTGAACGATATATCAGTCCAAAGAAATATTGTTGATCTCCCCCCCCC